TCTGGTTTATACATAAAACCAATCTCTTGTCTCTGTGAGAAAAAGCCTTTTAGGATCTCAACCTTAGTGCCATTCTTTTTCTTCTAAAAAAATTATTTTTGCTGAAATCTTTTTGTTTTCACATTGTTTAGACTTCCCCATAAATCCTCCTCCTTCCCTCTCTCAGAGCACTATACTTTATAATAGGAATTTTTTTAAAAAGAAAAAGAAAGAAGAAAAAAATTTAGCATAACTAATGAATACACTGAAAAGATGTGACAGCAAATGCAATATTTCATGCTTTTGTACTCACCATTTTTGCAAAGGAGTAGTAGGAGGTGTCTTCTTACATCTCTTCTTTGGGATCAAACTCATCATTTGTAATTTTGCAACATTAATTTTCACTTGATTCTATTATTTTTCAATCACAGTTGGTCCTTGCCTAAATCAATTCTATTTGAAGTTATATCAATCCTCCCAAAAGGCTGGGTGCTGCTTTGCCTTCTGTAACTATTTTCTGTTTGCTTACTTTGGGGGGGGGGGTTTGTTTGTGAGGGGTTAAACATACATCGTATGGCTGGCCAGAGCTGCTAGGTGTCAGAAGACTTGGATTCAAGTCCTGCCTCTGTCATAGACTGGCTCCATACCTCCACACAGCCTTCTAAGATTCCAAGTCGCAAAGACATCAATTTGCACTAGTAAAGGACCTTCCTCCTTGGGAGCTCCCTAATCCAAACTTTCTCTGTCAAGGCAATTAAGTCTTCTTGGCTCTGAGGCACACGCCTCAGTCTCTACTCTTCTTCTCACCTTCCTCTGGACCTATTCCACTCTGTCCCTGTCTTCTCTAAAATGCAGAACCCAGAAATTAATCCACTATCCCCATATGACTGACCTTCCCCCTTCCATAATTCAGCCTATGATCTCCTGAGCTATTCCAGAGCACACGTCACACACCAGGCTCAAACTTCCACTTCACTTGGACAGACATTTAGTAAATGTTTATTATATGAAAGGTACAGAGCAGGAGATACAAAAAAACAATCCTGGCCCACAAGGAGATTCCATTCTACTCTAGGACACAGCACGTACACAAAGAAGTAAGATACAAAGCAATCCAAGGAAGGTGAGAGCACTAGGAGCAACACGGAGGAAGGGGGACCTGAGGGGAGCTCTGAAAGAAGACAGATGTTCTCAGAAGTAAAAATGAAGAAAGAATGCATTCTAAGCCTGAGAGCCAGTTTGTGAGAATTCATGGAACAGCAGGGACAGAACACCAAGTGCTGGTTGTGGAAAATGTAGAGTTCATGAGTATAATCCAATAAACACTAATTAATCTCCTACTATATACAAAGCAGAGTAGTGGATAGACGTGGCCTCCTGCCTTAGACTGGTTTTACAACCCTATATATGTATATCAATAAAGTCATAGGTCCAGATCAAAAAGAGAAAAAAATGTTCCAAGGCACTGTGTGCTGGGTGCCTGAGGTACAAGGATAAAATGAAAACCAGTCCTTGTTCTTAAAGGGCTTACATTCTACTAGGGAAATATAACATAGAAACAAATAAATATATCCATGCTGTTAACAATAACTGGCATAAAGTTAAGTCAAACTGGCATTTAAGGCTTGCAAAACACTTTACATCCATTTTTTCATTTGAGTTTCATAACAGCATTGTGAGATCCAGGTATAATTATCCTCATTTTACAGTAAAGAACCTGAGGCTGAAAGAGGTTACTTGGCCCAGGGTCACACAGCTAATAAGTATCAGAGGTACAAGGATGTGAAGATAAGGTCTTCATGACTCCAAGTCTAGCACTTTAGTCACTACACTACACTGCCTTCCAAATGATAATTCTAAGAGAACGGAGAGAGGACTAATAACAAAGGGAAATGGCATATTAGCTAGCCTTGAAGAAAGCTAGGAAATCTAAAAGGAAAAGGTTAGGAGGGAGCTCATTCCTGGGATGAGGGATAGCCTATGCACAATGGTAAAGACTGGGTGCCATTTAAGGAGCAGTAAGAAGGCCAATTTTTCTGGAAACCAGAGTGGGTAAGGAGAATAATATACTATAAGCCTGGAAAAGTAGGTTGAAGCCAGATTGTGAAGGGTTTTGAACACCAAACTGAGGAGTTTGTATTTTATCACAGAGGCAACTAAAAGACACTAAAAGTTCTTAAGCAGGGGAGTGACACGGTCAGACTTATATTTTAGGAAGATTATTCTGTCAATGGAGGGGAGAACAGATTAGAGAGGGAAGGTAGAGACTGGAGGATCAATTTTAAGTCTTGTCCAGGGGAGAGAAGATGAACTAGGATGGTGGCTGAATCAATGAACAGAAGAGGACAGTGCAAGAGCTATTAAGGTAGAAAAACAAAACAAGATTTAGAAACTGATTAGACACAGTGTGAGGGAGAAGAAAGAAATTGAAGATGACCTCAAGGTTGGAGGTGGTAAACCTGGTGTTTCTGGAAGGATGCAGTGAGTCAGAAACAAGATTTTGAGGAGGGCTGGATTTAGAGGAGAAAATAATCCAAAACATGTTTTAGATATGGAAAGTTTGAATTTTCACCAAAGGCCCAGAAGGTAGTTGATGAAAGATGGTGTTTATGAGAAGATTAAGTCTGGGTATATAATTTAGGAGTCAGTCATATGTTTTTTTCATACAATCTGTTGCTTTCCCCATCTTATTATTTGGTTCAACATTCTAAACTCCAATGTATTAACCATCCCTCCCACCTTCTCTGCAAATTTGATAAGCATGCCTTCACTCTAAACAGTGACAGAAATGATGAGCAGAACAGGGCCCAGGACAGATCTAAAGGGCAGTGACCTCCTTCCAGGTTGAGATTCATTTCACTAATCACTACTCTTTGGGCCCAATCATCCAAGCAGTTCTAAATCCCCCTAAGTGTATTATATTCTAGGCTATGTCTCTCCCTCTTATTCACAAGAATAATGTGAATCTTTATCAAACATTTTGCTAAAATCCAGGTAAACTATGTGCATGGCAACTTCCTGATCTAGTCTAACAGACCTATCAAAAAAGAAATAGTGAAAAGGTTAGAACCTATGCTGGTTCTTAATGATCATCACTGCTTTCTAATTGGTTGCAAACCATTGCATTGATGATGTGCTCTAGAATTTTGCCAAAAAAGCCACCAAGGTAACTCTTATAGAGTTTGAAATCTCCATGCTCTTCCTAGTTTTAAAAAACCAAGACAAACTATAGAATCTTTTTGTTCCAAAGTTAATATAGAAATTATGTAATTGTGCAAGAAAATGAGTTATTAAAATTATGAGAAGAAATCTACAGTCCAAAAGAGGTAAATTTTAAATCCAAAGCAAAAGAGGAAAAAAGATATTTTCAAATTCATATACAATTTGTTACACATTCTAACAGTGTGTTATAATGGAACAATCAGACTCCCAACTGGAGTCAGGAGAGAGCTAGATTTGGATTCTATACCTTAGGTAGTTATTACTTATGATTACAGGCAAGTCACATATCTTCTCTAGGGCTAAACTTCCTCATCTGTGAAAGGGGATAACAAAATCTATAATACCTCACAGAGCTGTGAGGATCAAATGAGATACTACGCATAAAAGGGCTCAGTAAACTTTGAAGTGCTACATAAATTTAAGTTAACATTGTTTTTAAGCAGGGTATAAAGAAAACAGAGTTTCTCTACACCATTATATCTTAACCTTTTGCTAAGAAGCACCACCATATATGACCATGTTAAACTTTTGCTCTCTGAGGAAGGGTTAAGAAGAATTGAGTAGAGCTTGAGATCATTAAAGTAAGTATTTCTTGCTTTATGAATGACGTATTGGTTATAAAGTTAATTTCCATGAAGCAAACTCAATTTCCTCCCATTGAATTATAGAATTGTAGACATTAGAGCTGAAAGGCCCCTTAGAGAACATTTTATTATAAACTAAAAATATAATGCCATGGAAAACAATCCCCCAAAAGTCTGAATTGACAGCTTTTTAAAGGAAAGGGATCAATACTGGTGTATTGAACAGAATAGTAAAAGAAAGGGTTGTGAATTCTGCACAACTTTGGGAGCTCTCCATTCCTTGCTCCAATCCCTAAATGAGTTAAAGTTCTTCAATTTCTGTGGATATCCCAGTTTCATGTTTTGGTGTCTGGAACTGGGTTTTCCTTGGTACATGTATTATTTAATAGAACTAGGACACATAAGGAAGGATACAGATAGGTCTTTGTTTCTCTTTCCTTACCCTTTTGTGGAACATAAGAAGCACAGGGAAAAAATAAAGAACAGGAAAAAAATACCCAAAATATGATCTTAAAACTAAATTGTAAAACTAAAAGCACTTTTAAAAAAAGTATAGATCAGAACACCACAACTTTAGACATGTTTTACATTATTATATGGTGAGTGGGCACCTGCACAGAATGTGATCTGGGCTTGGCTAGAAAATGGCTGAACAGCTCTGCAGGCTGTATACAATATCATATATACAAGCCCTTGATGGCTGTGCTAGATGTCTTTCACTAATGGTTCATTTCAATCTTATGCAAAAAAAGTCAGGGTTATACCCTCCCCAATTTATGAGCTCAAAATAGACAGTAGTATTTTGGGGTTCACAAAGGATAGCTGCATTCTCAGCTGCCCCTTAGAATATGCTAGGTAGCTTTATGTATCTGCTAAGGGGTAGAGAGAGGAAAGAAGATGTCTTTGAATTTCCAGACTCTCTTTGTATTCAGATGGGCAGTCTCAGAAGCTTACAGGGAGGGCAATGTTTCTTCCCTGCCCTGTGCTGGGAAACAAACACCAGTAGAATAATAATATGGAAGAAAGCAAGGCAGATTTCATTACAGTAGAGTGCCTACACTTCCTCATAACTTGGATTTACACACTGCAAATCCTCTGATCTGATTACCTCCAGTGATCACGTAAAATACCGGCTTTAAACTCTTTGCCTTAGTGATAAAACAGCCACTTTGATTCACAACGAGACATTCACAATAAAGTATATTGTAAACGTACCTGTCCACAGCCCGGGGCATTGCACACAAACGGTCTGTCGTCTCCCATATTTCATATAGCTGAGCGGAGCTGGGGAGGGGTAAGGAGGGGGAAAAGTTATTTTAAATACACTGGGGCAAAAAAAAAAGTATTACAAAAATATCAAGCCTAGAAGCAGGTGTTGTAGCTAGGAATGTAATCTATCAAAATATAGACTACTTTGGGGGGGCCCCAGAACCTGCTAGACATGTGGCGTATGTTAGGTGCCTAAACCGAAACTGGTGATTAGGAAAATTTAGGTTTAAATGGTCAAAGAATTTTAAGCCTTTTAAAAAATTTCGTCCTTTCAAATATACATCTCTCTCTCTCTCTCTCTCTCTCTCTCTCTCTCTCTCTCTCTCACATACACACACACACACACACACACACACACACACCACACACTCTCTCTCTCTCTCTCTCTCTCACTCTCTCTCCTCAGCCTGCTGAATTACAACCAGTGCAGTTTCCCATGTCGATAAATCCGCCGAGTGCCGGATGCACAAGCCATATTTCTGACCTGGAGAAGACCAAAATTTGTCATTTAATTAATTAAGGGATTATAGGAGGGGTGCTCCATTTTACAAGGCCATAATCTGGCTCCCCCGTGTATAAACTACGAGGCTGTTGGCAAGGGCCGTTTATCCCAGATTATTGCCAAGGAAAACAAAGCACCCATCCTATTGGGCTGCGTGGGAAATTATTTTCATTAATACAAAAATAAAAACAAAAACCTTTCCTCCCGACTGGGAACCTCCTTCTCCCCCTACCAATTCTCTATGTCAAATCAAGAAATATCAGTACCACCCCCACCCCCATTCTATTTATGGCTGGGTTTTAAAAAGCAGCAATAAAACAAATGTCATTTCTTTGGGGGTTTACTGGGCAAATATGTTCCGGCTGTTTGTGCTGCTCCTGGCCAGAGTTCCTGAGAGGCTCTGCTGAAGCCAACAGATGTGTGCTGCTGCAGGGGAGAACCAAAATGGCCCTAAAAGGAATCACCAATGTCCCCTCTGCTCCTTAGAAGAAGTTAACATGGCTAATATGAGTTTCTGCTTCTCTCTTTCCTTTAAAAAAGTATTTAAATTGAGCCCTTGAAAGACTCATCTCAAAGTGTTAGTGAGGTTTCTTACATTCTAGCAAAGAACTAAACAATTGAGGTGAAGACAGGCTGAAGCTGGAAGGGCAACTTGTACCGGAACAGATTTGAAAAGGATGAAAAGTATTTTTGAAAGAGTGAGGGATCAAAAAGAGGAACAAGAAATATATTAGAGTAAGCTCTCAAAGAAAGTATTCAGGCATATTCCCATAAAAGAGAAAGACAAGAAAATAGAATTTGGGAAGGAAGGAAGCAAGCAAAGGAGGGGCGGAGGAAAGAAGGAAAAGAACTAAATCTCAAACTATATAAATGTATATAGGAAGGGCCACAGAACAGGAAGGTTTCAAATTTTTTAATTTGAGGTAGTACCAAAATGTCATGTCAGATTCATTCTGGCTCATGTGTTAAAGTTCAAAATTTGACAGTTTTCTGATCATGAAGCCCAGTTTAAATATCAGAGGATAGCTGAGTAACATCTCTCTTACTCTCTTAAAACTCACTCTGGGGGAAACCAGGCTTTTGGGCTGTCTGGTCAGTAAATCACACAACAAATAGGAGCTTTAAAATGTGGGGTGCCAGATGAAATAGAAATGGTTTCTTGGTCATCTTTCAGTGTGATAGGAACAGGGTCTAACTCTGAGGGAAACCGATGCCACACCACTGCTGTAATGGAATTGCGCCTGTATGTACATACGTGTACACAGATTTATACCACATTTAGCCAGGATAAATTGCTTCAATAAATTCTGTTCCTAGGAGCAGCTAGCTCAAGCTGATGACTGGGTACTAGGAGAATGAGAGCTTCATTCTTCTTCACACAGCCTCAGGACAAGAGGGTTTTCTGGTTTGTTTTAAACATGTGATGACTTTGACACTTTCTGGAACCATAACATGGATGTGAAAAATAAATGCAAAGACCAAGGCCAACTTTAGAAAGTAGCTATTGTCTCTGGAAAAAAAACATCCTTACTGCTGATGCTTACTAGAGACCAATTTGGCTTCCCAGTCCCAGAATTTCTATGCTCAACACTAGTATCAAATGGCTAGTGTTCCTGTTTTTCAAGCAGGCAGGTCCTGTTGCTTACTCTAGACTAGGGAATACATACAGTATACAACAAAAGTTTAAGCAGAAGCACTGAACAGGGCACCAGAAGTCAAGATTCTTCAACCTTTACCCGGATTCTATAATCTGGAGATATCTGCTCACTTTTTTTTCCCTTTGGGGGAGAGGGAGAAGGGTCAGGGAAGGGAGCAGGGAGGATCCCAGTTTCCTGGCAGTGGAATAGGAATAGTAGTATTTTAAGGAATGATTTGAGATCCCAAAACAAAAAGGAAACAACACAAGAGGGATATATCAAAGAAGACAGCAAAGCCCTAGGTTTTCAACAGCTCTGAAAACCAATTATCATAATGGGATAACCAATAGGAGAATACAGGCAGAAAAAAAAACCCTCTGGGAAATTTGAAAAGTGGTTCCCTTCAAGCTAAAACAGGAATTCTAAACCTGGGGGTCCAAGGATAGATTTCAGCAGGGTACAGGATCTTGAATAGGGAAAAAAAAAACGTTACTTTCATTAACCTTTAATGGAAATTTCCTTCAATTATTTAAAAGCACTATCATTCTAAGAAGGAATTCACAGACCTTACCAGAAAGCCAAAGGAGGCCATAACATAAAAAAGGTTAAGAAGCCCTGATCAAAAAGAATCAAACTTTTAAGTAGCCTCTCTAAATTACACCGTAATTCACAGCTTCCAACATCATTTTTTATGGAAAATGGAAAAATGTGTTTTCTAACCAAAAGCAAAACCAAACAAAAACCTGTGAGAAGTCATAAAAATGTACATATGTACATATACTTGCATGACTTTCAAATATTCAAATCAAGCAGTCACTGAATCCATCTGATTAATTTCCTGGTTCCTTTCCACTTGCTGCTGGCCTCTTATTTGCTAAGTAATGAAAGTAGATCACAATGAGAAGACTTTTTAATGAGTACTCACAATTACTCTTAAATCATTCTCTCATTCTTTCCCCCAGTCCCTTCCTAATTCTTCTATTTAACTGTATTTAAACAGACGATTCTGTATTTTCAGAAGGCTATAGCTAATGCTCAATTCATGTTCTCAATTTCTCTTTTTTTCCCTACCCTGTCCTCTGTTGTTGCAGCTAAAGAAATGCTTGTTACTTCTTTACGTCTGACATTTAAAATAAAACTAACTACAAGTCAAACTGATGTCTTCCCATCTCTTCCAAAAAAATATCCCAACACAACACATTTCTGTGGTATAAACAGACTGAAACAGAGGGTGAAATCTTGATGAATAATGGTGCTGCCACTCACTGGAATTTAACTCACAACCCATTTGTAACTGCATTGCTTGTCAAGCAGATCATGTGTCTAGGCACTGCATTCATAGTCTGTCGTCTGCCTCCCGATTTATCCTTCACACAGACTGAACTCAAAACATTTTACAGAGCTAAATAATAAATGACAGGAGAGGGAGACACACATTAAAGAGGCACTAAGCCAAGGGAAAAAAAAAGGCTTTCAGCCTGGATCTTTAGAGGTAGACAACGAAGATGTACAAAAAGGATATCCTAGAGGACAAGATCCTCAGAGAAAGTTCTTTTACTAAGTAAAATCAAAATGCCCAAAGCGATAGAGCAGGGGTTCTTAACCTTTATTTTATGTCATGGACCCCTTTGGCAGTTTGGTAAAAACCTATGGGCGCTTTCTTGAAATAATGTTTTTAAATAATTGAAGGAAATGATAAATTTCAGTTAGAGGCTAGTGAAAATAAAGATGCAATTTTCCCCTCCCATTCAAGGTCACAAACCTTCTGAAACCCATCAGATTTCAGGGTCTGACAGACCCTTTAGGATTCCTGTAACACAGAAAGAGAAGAGAAAAAAGTTAACTGAATATTTGGAAAGAAGCATAGGGGAAAAAAAAATCACAACAAGCTCAAAAAAGATTTTAATGAATTGAGATGACAAGCAGTGGGATCCTAAAGTGGAAAGGTATCAGTGAACAAGTAAAAGAGGAAGGGTGATAGATTCTTTAATGTTGTAGATATGTGGTTTCCACGACTAAATACTATAGAGCCACCCTAATCTTGCTTTAATCATTTCCACAGTAACCAAAAGATGCCACCAATAAAAATTTAACTTCAAGTGAGGAACAAAATTGACACACAAACCCACCCAGGTACCTATTTCTTTAGGTTCCTAATGATAAAAACCAGGGGCAATTTAGATAAGAAAATGCAAGATATAGTTGGCAACAGAAGCAGAAGGGCACAAAGCACCATAAATACCAAAGTTCATTCTTTACTTGGAAGAGACTTGAGGCAATAGCTCACCTTCAAATAACCAGAAATTTCTAAAATATCCTTGTAAAACAGAGTTTCTTTCACTAAGGATGCTTTAAAGAAGTCAGGTGAGTGGTGATAACAATAATAATAGCAGCAGTTAACATACATTGTGTTTTAAGGTTTACAAAGCACTTTACATATATTATACCATTTGATTTTTTACAAAAAAGCTTCATTTACAGCCAGAGCTATGGAACTGGGTGGTGGGGAACATCTCTAGTTTGTGGGTCTATTCAGGTCCCTTGTTGCAGCTGCTACTGCTCCTGGGGCCTGTCATCTGCCAATTACACTGTCTTCAAGTACTTCCAGAGGGCAGACCAGGGTGAAGTGTTAACAGTCCTAGTAAAAGGTTGGCAGAGAAGAAGTTTGAGACTAATGACTGCAATTAGATTTTTGGATTATCCACAGTTTGTCATCATTTAAAAATTATCCAGGATCTCTTTGCCTGTTCTTGTTTTCTTCTCCATTGGATCTATTTCCATGAATAATTGAGAACAGACTATACTTTTGGATCTCTAATAATTCTGTGAGGGAAAAGAGGAGCAGGGGAATCTTTCCTGCTTTTCACATTGGTCAA